ATTCAAATTAGTCTTAAAATAAATCAACAATACCTTATAATGAAAATGGATTCTATTGAGGCTTTTCAAAATCTTTGTTCCTTTCATTCAGTATTTTAATAGCTTACTGGTGTACAAATTTTTTCAACTTAAAACATAACTTGGAGCTCAAACATTTCCAGAACGGGCAGAATCTTTCAAAGATTCAAGTATTTTGAATTTGAAATGCTTTGGATACCTCTGAGGTACCTTTTCCTTCCTTTCTTCCTTCCTTCCTTTCTTCCTTCCTTACTTCCTTCCTTCGTTCCTTCCTTCGTTCCTTCCTTCCTTCCAACTTCCAATCTAAGTTCCCTGTTCTTTTATCATCCAACATTCACAAGTTTGTTGATTGCTTCCCAAAGAATAATGATTTTCTGGTAATGTGAAAAATATTGCATCAGGAACATTGTATCCAGAGTGCTAAATATTTTGAGAGCAATGCCAATGTTAGTTCCACTTAATTATTTATAATAGATTGACAAAAAGAGTGTATAGAAGGGGAACACATCAAATTTGTAGATGACAGGCAAATCTGTCATCTGCCAGGAATAGTCAACATTTTAGAAGATATGCTCATGATCCAGAAGGGTCTTAACAGACTTAAACACAGGCCCTATCCAACAAAATGCAATCCAGTGGTAGAAAAAGTAAAGTTTTACATTTAAGCAAGAAAAACCAGAAATACTGGTATAGAATAGGTGGTATTTGGTTCAATAGCAGTAACTGTGAGAGGGATCTAAGAGTCCTAGTAGACAACCATTTAAATATGAGCCAATAATGTGCTGCAGCTGCAGTCCCTTCCAACTCTATTATTCTGTTCTTTTGTTAAGTTAATGTTTTAGGGAAGGAACAAATATTCAGGATCTTTCTTTAAAAGCGATGATGTTATTATATATTTATCTAGAATGCATGCTTTATTTTCCTGTTTTTAAAGAATATAATTGGTCATTATATCAGAATATCAGAATGATATTGGTCATTATATCAGAATGAAAGAATATCATTCTCATTATATGTAATGTATTAGAATAAAAAGGGCATTGATCACAGTGATTTAATTGTACTTTTAAAGTTCTATCAAGTTTGATTGACTACATTACATCTATCTATAGTTTGATTGACTACATTAGTAATTTATTTTTTTCAGTATTGGAAGTGATTAGATATATTTGAGTCCTTGTAACTAACAAGGACTATTTGTACTTGTTGCTTTGATTAACAATTGTTATCATATATATTTAATAAAAGAAATTTTTAAATATCTACAGAACAGCTTATTTGAATGTATTAACCTTATATGCATAGTATGATTGTATGGACAAATTCAAAATACATTGTGCTCAAGGCAGAATCAGTTATAATTATATCGAGCCTGAGCAATTTATAATTCACCAGCTGGATCTCAGCTTACAAGTCATTTATGATATTGCAAGATAACTTGATAAACTTTATAAATGTTTGCAGCTTATCTGGACTCCCAGATGAGGATAGTATTTCAGGTTGATGACACAACAGGAACAACTAACTATGTTTTATACTGAATAGTACACAATTTTTGGCTGAAGGATTGATGCTAAAAGTTCATTTGCATTTCAAGTGAAGTTTTCTGTTTTCAGTAGTAATAGTGAAATAGAGAAGATCCAGACTGGATTGCAGAATCATGGTTCATCTAAAGTTTACTGGCTTGAAACTAGTGTTAGCCCAAAAAGAAGGTTCCCAGAGCTGTCACTAGAGTTGCATTTAAAAGAAGCTGTCTTTTCCACAGAGTAAAATCAATTTTTAAAGAGCCCTCTCCTTGTTGAATCCCTCTTTCTAAATATTGTGCTCCCCTAGTCTGTAATCTTACTTGTATATTAGAATTATTACGAAGAATATTTAAAAATCAACACATTAATCTTAGTTAAACTTTTGGTATTGGCCTGAATCAATAAGTGCTCAATATATGATCTATCATTTATTTCAGCTTTGCAGGTGATTGTCAGATTGCTTTTTGTTATAATCGAATCTGTAAATATTGTTTAAAATGTCAAACCAAAGGGAGAAATCTTATGAAAATGAAAGCTGCATAGGAAGATCACTTGAATCTTGTGCTTAGAACTGAAATGAGGAGAGAGAGATCTTTTCTTATTCCTATTAAATTTCCTTCCTTCCTTCCTTCCTTCCTTCCTTCCTTCCTTCCTTCCTTCCCTAACCCATCCATTCATCAATCCATCCATCTGATGTACATCCATTCTTTGTTTTCTATCACCACCATAAACACCACAAGATATAAATATAGACAGATAGAAGCTTCCATCAGCAAACTGACATTTCAGGGTCTTTGAAGGAACACATCATATCCATTGCCTTGATGGTTGAGTGAAGTTACAGATAAACTATTGCCAGGAAAATTTTATAATTTGAAGTAGATTAAAATCTTATTTTAATATATCCATTTTTTTATTTCTGCATATCAGATGTGTAGAAACCTGCAGTGTTGTTTGTTTTTGGAAAAAAGGCTACGCTTTCAACAAGTTTTGTTTAATATTTCTGAAGCTGTTTAACTCATTCTGATTTGAAATGCTGGAGGAGATTCTAGCACTTTTTATTTCCCTGCACATGCTGTGGCTAATCCACACTGCTTGTTGCCTTGTTGCCAGAATACACCAGCAACAGTTACTGGAAGGTAGAAATGGAAAACATCACCCTGTATTCTACTTATCATAAAAATGATTTTCAGGTGCATTTTCTTGCCAAGCTTTTAAAAAACCATTTTTCCTTTACGTTGTTCTGAACAGTTCATTCTGTTTTAACTATGGTGTTTTAGTACCTTTCAGGCTAATTCTAAGAGAAAGAAACATTTGCTTGAATGAGTCAATAGGTACTCTGATTTTAATGGTTTTCTAGAATTTTCTTTTAATGATGGTGTTGCATAGTGGCTATGAACTTGCTGAACTAATTCCATGTTTCAAAAAATCAGCAGAATTTTTTTTGAAATTGCTATTTTACTTTTCTTGACCAAGCTGGATTTTCTTCTCACCCCTCTCCTTAAAAATAAGTCCAGGGCTGCAGCATTTCATTGTTTCTTAAGTATATTTTTTTTAAAGGACACACTTGCTGACTTGGAAAAATTTTTAAAAATGTAATTCAAATAACAAAATATTCCTACTTAATTCTGAATTATTAAATTTCTACATTTGAGGCAAATATTATAATCATTATGTTACTTCAGAAATACCAAAAAAAGGGAGGAATTGGAACTGTTAAAGAGCAACAGGATGGCTGGAAATAATTTTTTATTTAATAGTGATTGTTGTGCCTGTTTGTACATCCAGCTGATTTCTGTTGAGCCTTTAACCTGAATATATAAATACCATATTTTTGGACTATAAGACGCACCTTTTTCTCCCAAAAAAGAGAGTGAAAATCTGGGTGTGTCTTATACTCCATATGTAGTCCCGCCCAGCTTCTCAAACGGAGGTTTCAGAGGCTGAAAAAAGCATCAGAAACAAAACTTCAGAAAATTAGTTCCCAAACAGAGCTTCAGAAAAAAAGCCCTCAAACAGCGCTTCAGAGGCTTTTTTTCTGAAGCCCTGTTTCAGAGGCTTTCAGAGGCAGGAAAAAAAAAGCAAAAAAAAAAAAAAAAAAAGCAAGGCACAGAGCTCACAACCAAGAAACCTGTTGCTAAAATTCACCTCTGGGAACAGCTGATTGGGAATATTCCTGGAGTCCATTCCACCTGCCAATCAGCTTTTTTCTTATTTGAAGAAATAAAATGCAGTAAAATGCAATTGCTTTCCTGGAAAAAAGGTAAAAGGGCACACTGCAGAGAAATTGGTCAATTTGAATCCTCTGAAAACTGTTGTAAAAGTTTCTTAGTCTGAATGGGGTTTTCTTGAACTGGTTTACAGGCAGAAACAGCTTAGATGGTAAATGCAGATATGCACATAATTACGTAGTCTTGAATTATTGATTGATTGATTTAAAACACCACACTTGGAATACTGCATCCAGTTCTGGTCGCCATGATATATGTAAAAATATGCTGAAACTCTAGAAAGAATGCAGAGAAGAGCAACAAAGATGATAGGATGAACAATGAACAATTGATAGAACTAGGTATGTCTATTCTAACAAAGAGAAGGACTAGGAGTGATATGATTAAGTCTTCCAGTATGTGAGGGGTTGTCAGAAAAAAGAAAGGCTCAAACTATTCTCCAAAGCACCTGAAGGCAGGGATAGAGATAATGGGTAGAATATCATTAAAGAGAGATGTAACCTAGTACTAAGGAGAACTCTTCTGAGAGCAAGAACAATTCATCAATGGAACAGTTTACCTCTAGAAGTTGTGGGCGCTCCATCAGTGGAGATTTCAAGAAGAGATTGGGCAGCCATTTGTCCAGAATTATATAGGGTCTCCTGCTTGAGCAAAGGGTTGGACTAGAAGACTTCCAAGGTCCCTTCCAATTCTTGTTATAGTCTCTTCTGAATACTTTGTTAGTTCCTTCATTCCTTATTGTTATCTTGATATACCTTGGTTTTTTTCTCATTTCACTCCAGACTTAAGAACACAACTGTATGTTGGCTTGTAGCCTTCAGATATTTAGCAGATTGTTATTACCAATTCTTTTCTGCAAATATGCAAGGTCCTGAAAGTTAAAAGGGTGCAACCATATATAGATTTTATAGTATATGTATAAACACACATAAATACACACACATTATGTTTCCAACATGAATATAAGCAACATGCGATAAATTAACTTACTGTATGTCTACTTACTAAGATCTACAAAAATATAATTTGTATTATAATATGATTTGTTGCAAAGGAAATGTTTTATTTACATAATCTTTTGGCAAGAAATATTATGATCCAGAAAAATAATTCTATATAATTTGAATGCCTCTTGGAAAAAATGCATATTGAAATGACTAGAAAAATATGGAAATGCAACCTCAGTTTATAATTGATTTTCCTGTTTGCGCCCAATGCTGCACAGTGTAAGAGAGCGATGTCTAGAAGAGCAAAAGAGACGGAGACAACGAGCAACCAAGAAGATCAGTACATTTATTGGCACTTTTATACTTTGTTTTGCGCCGTATGTAATCACAAGGTAAGTTTTATGCCACTTCAGTCCTTTCCGAACAAAGATATATCCAATATTCACTTGGCAACATTCTGCTCAGGATTTTTATTTTTCACTGCACTGACAATTGTTGCCATCTATAGCTTGTATTTTGTTTCTTGCATTACAAATATTCTAATAAACGTCATGGAGACTGGAATCAGATTCTCACTGAAGAAGATCAGACAGGTTTTAGAATGTTGACCATAAAATGCAACAGTTCTTTTATGCTCTCTAATGCATAAATATGAGTACACATTTATTTCTGTACAGATATTTCAAGCCATAGCAAACAACTTGAGGAAGATGTCATGTCATATATTTCCATAATGTTTATAGACCTGTATTTTATGATGTTCTTATGTAATAAAGCAGCATTTAGGCCATATAACCTTGGATATTTTCCTGACTCTCTCTCATTTTTCTTTGCTCCCTTCAGCTATTACTAGTGACATCTCTGCTCTGTGCCATGTTTTACAAATATATCACTGTAAAATAACATTTCAAGTGCCCTCCATATGATGATGATTAGTGATAGCCCAGCTTTATCGCTGTGGAACCTTATACATGATTTATCGCTGCTAAATATATTAAAGAAGTTTAGAAAAATGCTCCTAGTAATAGTAACATAACAGAGAGGGAGTATATGGTCCAAGTAGGTAGTCTTTGCTTAGTGACCACAGTTGGGACTGACAACTCTGTCGCTAAGCTTGATGGTCACTAAATGGGAAATCACATGATTGTGACAAACTTATGACCTAACTTCCCATTTGGTCACCAGGCAAGTCACCATAATTAAGCAAATCATGTGTCTGTGACTTGTTGTTTTATTTCTGCATTCTCCATTAAGTCTGCTTATCACAAGTTGGTTGGAAAACACACCATGGCAATCATGTGATTTCAGGATGCTTCAGTGTTTGTAAATATGACGATTGATTGCAAAGTTATTTTTTTATAGTGTTGTAACTTTGAATAATCACTAGATCAGGCAATATGTAAGCGAGGACTGCTGGTGATGGAATTATTAATCTATAAGCGTGTACAGTTTAACTAACACAAGATCACAAAAATCTCAGTTCTACCACAATTGTCAAAACAGTTCAATGTTACTTCAAAATAAAGACTGAGGGGAAAATTGTATTCAAAGACATAACTCATCATTGTTCAAGTAGAACTAATTTATTGAAATGTTGATTGCGGTACTTCAGAAACAGCACAAGAGGGAAAAATCTGAAAGATTATGTTAGCTTTTATGAACATTTGGAATGTGTAGATTTATTTTTAACAGAACAGTTGATGGAAAAAAATGAGAAGATATTGGCACACATATGAAACTTAAAGCACTATGCATACTGATGTTAGTTTCCTGGTGCTAATAATTCATGTACATATGTCCAAACTGTGGGAGTTTATCAAATAGAGTTCTTATCTTCTGCTTCTATATTTTGACTCACACATCGAAATGTTTATCTGATACATGTAGTAGCCCTTATCCAGTTTCAAGTGTTCTTAGAATAAATTATTTATCCAGCCTTGCTCTCTCCATATTGGTAGATTTCAAATGTTTTTAGTGTCCAAAATGTTCAGATGTAATAGTCTGTGGTTATACCTATTGAGAATTCTGAGTGTTGTATTATAGACACATTTGGAGACACTGAGATCACGTAGGCTGATTAAAACATATTAAATCAAATAATCATTACATCAGTGGCCCCCAACCTTTTGGGCACCAGGAACCATTTCCATGGAGAAAGATTTTTCTGTGGATTGAAGGGGGCAAGGTTTTACATGCTGCCTGCATCCTGCGGATGGAGCTTTGCTTGTTTGCGCAATGTCATATCATGGCCCAGTTGCTGGCATGCCACAATGCAATGCTGGTCCATGGACCAGAGGCTGGAGATCCCTGCATTACATCATCTAAATTTATCTGAGACATTATATTAAAATACTTCCTCCTTACTTCCCCAGTCAACTCCAGAGACTAACAGTGATGTAACATTGCTTAGACCTTGGCAGTTGTGTTGTGAAGCCCCAATACTTTGTTTTTCCCTATATATATATATATATATATATATATATATATATATATATATATATATATATATATATATATATATATATATATATAGTTAGTGCAAAATGACTACTGGCATAAGCCTGATGATGGCAGATGGGATTCTGCCGAAACGTCGCTTCTACCCTTTTAGGGATATATCCACAATTACACGGGAAGAAACCCGAAATATTAACTATACACACATACATACCCGTGAAAACTTACATAAACAAATATATATATATATATATATATATATATATATATATATATATATATATATATATATATATATATATATATATATATATATATATATATAAAATTTGCTTTTAATTTATATGCCACCCTTGGCGGCTTACAATGCATTAAGCAATAGCCTTCATACTTTTGTATATTTATACAAAGTCAGCTTATTGCCCCCACAATCTGGGTCCTCATTTCACCTACCTTTGAAAGGATGGAAGGCTGAGTCAACCTTGAGCCTGGTGAGATTTGAACTTGCAGTAATTGCAAGCAGCAGATGTTAATAACAGTGTGCTTTAGTCCACTGTACTGCAGGCTCATATCATTTCATATTTGCATGACATTAAAGGACTTACTAGGGGATTTAAGAATAGCATGTTGAAAATAGCTAGCTGGGTCTCTTTTTTTCCATCAATATAAGATTAATTTATTCTACTATTAGATCAGTGCTTGGAGAAAACAATGTGTTGAGACAGAGCAATACATTGGGGAGAGGAAAGATAATGCATTAGTGTTGCAAAGTATTGGAATGAGAGATAGCTTCTTTTAGATTCTTCTCTGGAGAGTAGCTATATAATCAGATCTTTCATTTTTATGGTGACTGGCTCAAAAGACATAATAGTGCAGAATAACTATTTTTCATTGTACCACTTGATTTTTTTTGTTTGCTAATTTGTCAGTTGACATATTGATTGTAAAATATTCTTCCATTATAGCTTGGATTCATGCCCATAGTGGTTAGTTTGGAGCATCAGGTAAACATAAATAGATGACCCATGAGTTGATAAATTAGATTAGGATGGATAGATGGATGGATGGATATACATTATGTAGCTGGATTTATATGACAAAGTAAGATGGTTAAGAACAGCTTTGAAAGAGAAAAATATCTTCTGCCTGATCATTATAAAGTGTGTTTATAAAGTATAGATAGATGGCAGAGAGAGAGAGAGAGAGAGATAATAGAGATAGATAGATAGATAGATAGATAGATAGATAGATAGATAGATAGATAATAGATTCTGATGGATCAGTTTAAAATGGCAAATATAATTTAATGCTGTCTAAAATAAATAAATATACATATCCAGTGAATACATATATAAATACATCCATGAATTAGTGTTTTGCAATCAAGCAAAATGCTTGATCTTTGCCATTTCTACGTAGCCATTGGAATAAGTATAAGGCAGCTTTCTGTTCTTACAATTAATGAACACTTACGGCTCAAATGAGAACCTGGAACCAAAAAGCAGCTGCTTTAAAGCAGTGGTCTGCTCTGCTTATTCCCCAAATATGTTCTGAAACTCTTCTAAATCAGCCCTAGCCAATAGTGTCTTGCAGGGGTTGACTATTGCCTATTTTAATTAGTAACTAACATTTGTTGTTTCATGCTTAGTTGTTTTCTGTAGGCATGTAACTTGTAATAGACTAATATTGAATCACCCTATCATCTGATACCAGTACTGATCAGTTAATGTTAAATGTGCTTAACTTTATCAAATATAATTAAATTTAAATAACATTTAGGCTACCAGTACTGGGAGATGGTTCACTGCAACTATGTTCCTGAGGGAGAATTGGTTTTATTTTTCTAAATATATGTCTCAGTTTTGTCTTATTGATGAATTGTTGATGTGCCATTACATCACTGTCAATTCTTAGTAGCAACATAGATTTTCTCCAGGATTTACTGGAGAAACTACTATACATTTTTAAAAAAATTGATTTGTATTCTTTTAATCCTAATTATGCATTGGGAAGTTGCATGCCATCCAGAATTTCCTGACCAGAGTGATCTGCAATTTCTGAAAATATATAAACAAACAAATTTATTTATACAGTATTCATTCATTTGAATGTCTGTTAATACCATATTGCAATATTTTGCTAGTCTTATTTTTGTCTTCTGTTTTATGTTGTATCCAATGGATGGGAAATATAACAGATATATGCTGACTGTTTAAATGCTTTTTTAGAAGGCAAGATTGATGGCAATTGATCTGATAGTAAGTACAAGCACTCCTTTCTATAAAGAGATAGATACCTAATGCAGGTTGTAAAAACATAGATATAATGCAGAAGTATTTGAAATAACTATCTAATGTAAAATTAGAAATGAAACAACAGAATGTATGCTGAGGAAAGATAGCAATCAATAGTCTTTTTTAAAAAAACAATATATGGACCTTTTCGATGTTCAAAAGTCACTGGATATATGTTACTAGTAATATTAATAGTACTAATAGTAGTAGTCGTAGAGGAAGAAAGAAGGAAGGAAGGAAGGGAAGAAGAAGAAGGAGAAGGAGAAGAAGGAGAAGAAGAAGGAGAAGAAGAGGAGGAGGAGAGTACATTTGAATGATCTTGTTTTTGGATGCACAGCAGAACTGACGGATTAGAATGGATGTTTCTTAAGGATAAAAACAATGTAGCACTTTCATAGAGAAAGTCAACAGCATCATTAAGCATGTGTCAATTTTACATAGCAGCAGTTTCTAGAGATGCCTAACACCAGCTCTTTCTTTTCTTGGAGATGGTTCCTAATTATTACTCCTCTCGAAATAAGATGAACATGGCCAGAGGAAGAACAGATCTCCCATGCTGCCTTCTTCAGATGCTCAAACAAACAAACAAACAAACAAAAAAATACATGGACCCACTTAGAAGACCACTGAGAATATTTTCT